ATCCGCAAGTTAACTTTACAGACAAAGCAGAACACAGAGATGCCTACCAGGGCCAGCATCCATGAATAAGAAAATGTCATACAGAATAAGAGCGAGAACAAAGACTTCTTCCATTATAACATCAGAGGTTGTAACATTTAAAAACCCAAACCAACCACCAATCAAACGATTACCAAGTTTACATTAACCTGATCACCAGGCCCAATCTCCACAGGGTGTCACGCATCTAACTCTTGTGAGACCAATGAAATATACAATAAAGTCCTTTTGCATAGATAAAAATTTAGGAGAGCATTGGCTGTACAGATACCACAGAGATCATACATCCATATAGATGGCATGTACTTGCTCCACAGAGGACAAGTTTCAGATAGATACCAAACATGTCTGCTGTAGGCTTAATTATATCACACCTCCAGTAGTCAACCCCTGGATAATGTAGAGAAAATACATTCTGGCCCTCAGAGGGGGGGAGGGCTACTGGGCCCTTGGCATTGTCTTGAGCCATTTGCCATGCGGCTGGTGTGACAAGAGCACATAAATTAGGGCCGCACCTAAACTGTACAGCTAAGCAGATGAAATATTTAGGAATACTCATGCTAGGATATTCTGGTACCAGCACATGAATTATCATAAACATTATAATTGGACTTTAAAAGTCCCACTTAATATTTTAAAAGTTATTTCTGGCTAACTATTATTCTTGAAACTCTATTTTCGGACCCCGTTTGATAGAAATGCCATTCCAAACTTTAAAACGTGCAGATTGGTCTGGATAGTTTGCTTGTATACAACTTTTTTGATAACATTTATCGTTTTTAAAACTATAAAACTCATCAATTTGTCTGGAAGTCCTTAACATTCTAACGCTCCCGTTGTAAAACCCCATGATTCCACATTCTATTCACTTTAAACAAGGTAACTTTTGACACAATCAAGCTACTTTGAGCACGTTCCCAACTAACTTAGACAACATTTAGTCTACTTCTCTGGCTATTCAAATCTGAACATAAATATATTCTACCAATCAATACAGTTTGTTTTAGTAACTGCATCAACAACATTTTTATTAAACTTTTAAAAACAACGAATTTTGACCACTTCCTCAAAACTTTAGACAAAAACGTAGATTTAATGATTATTGGCACTCTGCTTGTCAATCTGAATCAAATAACTTCCTACCAATCAAAATTATAGCACTGGGGAGCACATAGACTGATGTGCTAACAGCTCACATCCCCACTAAACTAACCCCTGTAACAGTGGTCTCCCACCGGTCGATTGCATCGACTGGTCGAGTTCAAGGCTTTCTTAGTAGAATCGCCAAACTTCTGTAAAAAGCACAATGATAAGCCCCTTGCATTTTTATGTTTTTGGGGGGGTCACTAAGAACCTTGTTTTATGACGTTTTCGAACGAAGTTGCTTGATCTGACCTGCTAGTTTTAGAACGTCTCATGTTGGCTGCTGTAGTTTCAAGATTCAACATTCAAATCTTAGCTAAATGCTAGCGAGAGACGTGTCCGTTTATCCAATCGAGACTGTTGCGCTGAGCATTGTGTTAAGCGCCGCTAGCTAGCTAGCCAAACAGAACAGATAGCTACCATTTTTTGCTGCAGTTAGCTATCCTAGCTTGCTGATATTTATCTGACAATTCACAAAATGTGTGCCCTGGTTTTTGTGGCATATTTCATGACACTTGTTGCTAAATGTGTTTCAAAGTTTCCTTCACTTAATTGTAAAGAGGCACCGTTACTGTGTAAACGGTCTCAACCATCTTTTTGATCTGAATGCCCCATCTTTAGTCAGTCGGTTCTACAACACGGTTAGGGAAACTCGTTAGAGGAATCATGCAGATCTCATTTATCGCAATAAGATTTTTTTTCGAGCAACTGTCAAGGAAAATCCCCCTCTACGGATGAACCCAAGAGTAACTTCAGGACAGGAATCGCAGGATATACCGTAAAGGCACTCTCAGGCTATACCGGAGAGGTCTCAAATATTTACCATCCACAGTCCTTTTATATACTTAATCTACACATAAGAGCTGCTTACCCCTCAAGGGGGAAGCAAGCTTACAAAAGAGATAAGGGATTAATTGGCTCCCTTCCTTAGAAAAATACGACAAATTAGAAAGTTTATACCATTTCTTCACAGCCTGTACAGTGCATTCCTAAAGTATTCAGACCTCGTTTTTTTTCCTCAGAATGACAAGTGAAAACATGTTTTGATTATTTGCACATTTCTTTGAAATTAAACAGATACCTTATTTTACATAATTTCAGACCCTTTGCTATGAGACTCGAATTGGGAGCTCCAAGGTGCATCTGTTTCCATTGATCATCTTGGCTATGTTTCTACACTTGATTGGATCCACCTGTGGTTTTAAAATTCAATTGATTGCTGATTTTTGGAGGCACACACACCGTCTATATAAGGTCCCACAGTTGACAGTGCATGTCAAAGCAAAAATCCCAAGCCTTGAGGTTGAGGATTGTCCGTAGAGCTCGCCAGGATTGTGTCGAGGCCAGATCGGGGAATGGTATCAAAAATGTCGCATCATTGAAGGTCCCCAAGAATACCAGTGGCCTCTGTCGATTCTTAAATGGAAGAAGTTTTGGAATCACAAAGACTCTGGCCGCCACGCCAAACTTACAATGGGGGAAGCCTTGGTCAGTGAGTTGACAAAGTAACCCGATGGTCACTCTGACAGAGTTCCATAGTTCCTCTGTGGAGAGGGAGAACCTCTAGAAGGTCACCATCTCTGCAGCACTCCACCAATCAGGCCTTTATGGTAGAGTGGCAGACAAGCCCACTCCTCATTAAAAGGCACATGACAGCCCGCTTGTAGTTTGCAAAGCCACCTAAACAATATTCTCTGGTCTGATAAAACCAAGATTGAACTCTTTAGCCTGAATGCAAGCGTCACTTCTGGAAGAAACCTGTCACCATCCTACGTGAAGCATTGTGGTGGTATCCGCATGCTGTGGGGATGTTTTTTCCAGCGGCATGGACTGGGAGACGAGTCAGGATCGAGGGAAAGATTGAACGGAGCAATACAGAGATATCCTTGATTAAAACCTGCTCCTCAGACTGGGGGCGAGGTTCACCTTCTAACATTATCAACGACCCTAAGCACACAGCCAAGACAACCGCAGGAGTGGCTTCGTGACAAGTCTCTGAATGTCTTTGAGTTGCCCACCAAGGCCGGACTTAACCCGATCTAACATTTCTGAGATACCTGAAAATGCTGTGCACGATGCTCCCCTCATTCGACGAGCTTGAAGAGGATCTGCAAGGAAAATGGGAGAACTCCCAAATACAGGGTTTGCCAAGCTGTAGCGGCACACACAAAAAGATTTGAGGCTGTAACGCTGCCAAAGGTGCTTCAACAAACTACTGATTAAAGGGGTCTGATGCTTATGTAAACGTGATATCTTTTATAAATTTGCAAAAATGTCTACAAACCGGTTTTTTCTTGTCATTATGGGTAATTGTGTTAGATGATGAGGGGGAAAACTTTTAATCAATTTTAGAATAAGGCTGTACCTTAACAAAAGTGGAAAAAGTAAAGAGGTCTGAATACTTTCTGAATGCACTGTATGTCTAAAAAAATAGAGATGATAGGATCCTTTATAGGCCTAACCAAGGAAACTAGGTTTCCTCCTGGCTATGTTTTTGGCTGCCCGAAAATAATGACCAGTAATAATCACTCCTCTGTGCGGTATGTAAACAGGTTTACTGGACAGGTGTTGAAAATTACGAGTGATATACTGTTCAACTCGCATTTTTTTACAAAGCATTAGACTGTAGAAAGCCTTTTGTTACCCACAACACAACATTCTAAAACACTAGTTTCGTCTCTTCTCGTCTTTCCTTATGTCGTCTTTTGTATCTGAGCGCTTAAAGAGCTGTACAGTTTGATGTGGGTAGAACATATTCTAATCTGATTCCAGATTTGATCGCAGAGAAGCAGACTCTATTTCCTATATGCTCTAAATGTTTGTCTAACTTGTTGAGAAACGCGCTCAAAAGTAGCTGATTTGTGTTACGTTTTTGTGTTAAATGTTGGACTTCATGGATTTTTTAACATGGAGCTTTAAGAATTTTAAGAAATCCCATAAAATTGGCTGAGTTTTTTTAGAAGGTCAAATGTTTTTTAAAAAGTATAGAGTTATCAAGCACTTAATCCAGACCGATCTACACTTTTAAAAAGTTTTGAATGCCATTTCTATCTTAAACGGTTGTAAGAGGAGAGTGCTCTAAAGAATAAAAAGTCATAATAAATGGTGGCAATATTTAAAGTGACCTGCTGAAGCAAATCCTGTCATAATCTGATTAATTATCCCATCCCTTATATATCTCTATTTTGTGTATTTCTGCGAGCTCCTGTGACGTTGTACTCTAGTCTCCAGGGGTGGGTCCATCTTCAGCTTTTTATTGGTTAGTGTTTCCAAAGTATTGGTGCCAGTGTCCCAATTTCTGTCTTTCCCAAAATCCTACACATCACCTGCATTGGAATGAAGTGTTTTGAGAATTAATTTTTAACAGTGTTTACCTTAGGTTTTAGTATGGCAATGTGTATATTGTGTATGCAGCCCGATAGGCCTACTGATTCGGTGTGTTAGTGTTGTTCTTCTAGATGCATCGTGTGGTGTAGTATACAGTGGTGTCTTTAGTGAGTTGAGAATACCATTCCTAGCAGAGCATGTTTTGTATTGGCTAAATACTGCACAGTTAAACACTTTGCTCTTCAATCCCTTTCCCCCGACACTCGTGTAAATATTGTACTGTAAATTGTTGATTGCCTTCCTGTATATTATACTTATGAAAATGTTTATTCTATTCTATCCATTGAGCTTATTATTTTACTTATTTCTTATTGTTTTGTTTGCGTTTATCGAGGGGAAACTGCACGTAAGCAATTAATTGGACTGTGTACACCATGTTATCTCCTTCGCATATGACAAATAAACTTGAACTTGATGTGTGTTGAATAGGTATAATCTCTTACCTCGTCACAATGTGTAGGGCTAATAATCCAAGCCATGAATCCGGTTGAGGGGTATTTGCCGTACTAGTCAACCACCTCATTAACATATTTCATGAACACAGGATCAGAACCCTACCTGCATGAACATATTATACATCAACAACAGATTATTAGAAATAGGAATGATGCCTTTGTGATACATCCCATTTGGATAACTCACTTAGATTGATAGTGTCTGAGAAAGATGTCCACAATACACTGTTAGTACACTCCATTCTGATGCTGTCTCAAAACTACATGTGAAGCCAGATCATGACTCGTAGACAGATTTGCCCTTTAGGGTCTTTTTTAAATCCTAATTATTTCTGGACATCAACCACCGCCTCGGGTTCCGCTTGTTAGGAACCCAGAGCCCTTTATGATGTTCCTCCGTTCGCCGTTTTTTGTAATTATGTATTTTTATTTAAAATACATCCTTCTCAAAAAATAAAGGAACACTAAAAACACCTCCTAAGATCTGACTTAATGAAATAAGCTTATTAAAAATTACGTTTTTTTTTTTATACAATATTGGAATGTGCTGGACAAACAAAATCACACAACATTATCGATGGAAATCAATGTATCAACCCTGAGTCTGGATTTGGAGTCACCCTCAAAATAAATGGAAACCCACACTACAAGGCTGATCCCCAACTTTGATGTAATGTCCTTAAAACAAGTCAAAATGAGGCTCAGTAGTGTTTTGTGGCCTCCACGTGCCTGTATGACCTCCACAACGCCTGGGCCATGCTCCTGATGAGATGGCGGATGGTCTCCTGAGGGATCTCCTCCCAGCCTTGACTCACTCATCCGCCCAACGTCCGGACAGTCCTGGTGGTGCAATTGTCGTTGTGGATGGAGCGAACATGAATTCCCCAATTTTTCTCAATTGGATTCAGGTCTTGGGGAACGGGCGGGCCCAGTCATAGCAGCAATTGCCTTCCTCTTGTCATGAAACTGCCTGAACACACTCCATCCACCTGAGGTCGAGAAGCATTGGTCTTGCTAGGAGGAACCCAGGCCAACCGCACCAGCATATGGTCTCACAAGGGGTCTGAGATCTCATCTCGGTACCTAATGGCAGTCAGGCTCCTCTGCGTGCCCCTGGCTAGCACATGGAGGGCTGTGCGGCCCCCCCATGAAAATGCCACCCCCCCCACAACCATGACTGACCCACCCCGCCAAACCGGTCATGCTGGAGGCTTTTGCAGGCAGCAGAACGTTCTCCACGGCTGTCCCATATCTGTTACTTTCTCATTGTGAACCTCATTAATCTGTGAAAGCACAGGCGCCATTGGCGATTTGCCAATCTTGGGTTTTCTCTGTCAAATGCCAAACTCCTGCACGGTGTTTTGGGCTGTAAGGCTCAACCCCCATCCTGTGGACGTCGGCCCTCATAACCACCCTCATGGAGTCCTGTATTCTGACGTTTGAGCATACCATCAGATTTGTGTCCTGCTGCTGGAGGTCATTTTGCAGGCCTCTCTGTCTGGCAAGTGCTCCCCTCCTGCTCCTGCCTCTTTCACAAAGGCGGGTAGGCATTCCCTAGCTGCGTGTTTGTTTGCCCTCCTACGGCCTCCTCCACGTCCCCTGATGTTACTGTCCGTCTCCTGTTAGGCCTTCCATGCTCTGGACACTACGCTGACAGACACAGCCAAACCTTCTTGGCCACGCTCGCATTGATGTTCCATCCTGGATGAGCTGCACACCTGACACTTGCTGTGGGTTGTAAGACTCCGTCTCATGCTACCACTAGAGTTAAATCACCGCCATGCTTCAAAAGTGACCAAACATCAGCCAGGAAGCAAGAACTGAAGAAGTGGCTGTGGTCACCACCTGCAAAACCAGTCTTTATTGGGGGTGTCTTGCTAATATGCCTATAATTTTCCACCTGTTGTCTATGCCATTTGCACAACAGCATGTGAAATGTATTGTCACTCAGTGTTGGGCTTCCTAGTGGACATTTGGATTTCACAGAAGTGGTGATTGACTTGATTACAACATTTTGTGTACGTGGTTTCCCTTTATTTTTTTGAGCCGTGTATATTACTCTGGCCCCATACCTAGTCGCTCATGGACGGACTACGTAACATAAATGGTACGTAGATCTGTCAAAAGACTATGGTAACGAGCAGCAGTAGTTTCTCGTCACTTGTGTTTTTCGTCACTGGTTATTTGGATGTATCAGGATTGGGGCTAAAGCAGTGCTTCTCATTATTTTCTGTTGCCCCTAGGAAGAAGTAAACATTTCGCGCCCCCCCAACTCTCCGCCGCAACTGGAAATAGTATAATTTGTCTATGAAATTGTTCTAAGTACACCTCTGCATAACATTGTATCCTTATTAACATTAAAGAAAATATAAATAAAATAAAGAAATATAGATCAACTTACAACAAAGAATAACTTTATTAACATTGTTTTTTAGTCTGTACCAGAAAAGACTTAAAGTGCATCAATTTGCCAGAAATTTACCTTATTTTAAACTGTAAAAAAAATTTTGACCATTTGGATACTGAAAAATAAAATAAAATATAATCAATAAATAATAACAAATTAAAATTGATCAGCAACATGAACTCAGGAGCCCAATATATGAAACACTGACCTATAAAACAAAATTGAATAAAACCATTTGTGCTGATTTTTTTTTAGCAAAATGAGGAAGTCAGGATTAATGGCAAAAGGCACGTTTGTCTTTGAGTTTATCTACCAGCTGTTCTTTAAGATCGTTAGCAATGTCCATTTATACCGTCTGGCGACAGTGTCATTGGACAGAGGGATAGTTTTTATTTTTGCAGCACTTGCGTCATCCAGCATGACAGAGACCATATCTAATTCTGCAGGCAGTATTAGCTCCTCTGCTATGGAGTGTTTTTTTTTGCACTGAGCAATTTGGTACGCCACCTTATATGATGCTAACAGTGCTCGCTGGTTTCCTGAAGTAGCATTCACAAAAGCGGGACGATTGTTGGCAATATTCGGCATGTTTTCGCTGAAAAAACTCAAGCGGCTTATCAGCGTGATTGGGGTGTAATGTATTTAAGTGACGCCTTAATTTATTTGGCTTCATGCTGTCCCGCTGCCACCATTTTTGTAGGACCAGTAAAACATACTGGACCTTGATCACCGGATATTCGGCCCAGTCAGCACTGCGCGTTATCGACCCAGAACTATCAGTTTTTTTTCCGCCGGCATCACTGAATCACTGGACCTTTAACTCCGGATTCATCGCTACCAGCTGGCTACAACAAAACGGACGTAGCACACGCTAGCCGTGGCCTCTTACTCACTAGCGCTTCACCACCGGACCTTATGATAACTCAGCTATACAGCTGATATCTGCTGGACTGTTCCTTTTTACGGTACTACATCCTGTTTTATGTTTAGCCTCAGCCCAAACATGGGTTAGTTTATTGTTGTTTCGGTTATTCTAATTGTACTATATCACGTAGACCCCCCAGCCTAGCTAAACCTGCCTTGGTTAGCTCCTTTGTCCCTCCACCCATACATCAGAGACCGACTCAATTGATGCCTCTAGAGATACTATCTCTTCAGTGTTACCCACGCTTAGGTTTACCTCCACTTTACTCATATCCTTCCATATCCTTGTCTGTTCATAATGCCCTGAATCTTTTCTATAACACCCGGAAATCTGCCCCCTTTAATTCTATGTCCCCAACGCACTAGAAGACCAGTTCTTAAAAAGCCTTTAGCCGTATCCTTATTCTAGTCCTCCTCTGTTCCTCTGGTGATGTAGAGGCTAACCCAGGCCCTGTAGCCCCCAGTATCACTCCTAATCCCCAGGAGCTATCATTTGTTGACTTCTGTAATCGCAAAAGTCTGGTTTCTTGCACATAAATATCAGAAGTCTACTTCCTAAGTTTGAGTTATTCACTGCGTTAGCACACTCTGCCAACCCTGATGTTCTAGCAGTGTCTGAATCCTGGCTCAGGAAGGCCACCAAAAATTCTGAAATTTCCATCCCCAACTATAACAATTTTCCGTCTAGATAGAACTGCCAAAGGGGGTGGAGTTGCAATCTACTGTAGAGATAGCCTGCAGAGCTCTATCATACTATCCAGGTCTGTGCCCAAACAGTTTGAGCTTCTACTTCTAAAAATCCACCTTTCCAGAAATAAGTCTCTCACTGTTGCCGCTTGCTACAGACCCCCCTCAGCCCCCAGCTGTGCCCTGGACACCATATGTGAATTGATTGCCCCCCATTTATCCTCTGAGTTTGTACTGCTTGGTGACCTAAATTGGGGATATGCTTAATACCCCAGCCATCCTACAATCCAAGCTAGATGCCCTCAACCTCACGCAAATTATCAACGAACCTACCAGGTACAACCCTAAATCCTTAAACATGGGTACCCTCATAGATATCATCCTGACTAATATACCCTCTAAATACACCTCAGCTGTCTTCAACCAGGATCTCAGCGATCACTGCCTTATTGCCTGCGTCCGTAACGGGTCCGCAGTCAAACGACCACCCCTCATCACTGTCAAACGCTCCCTAAAACACTTTAGCGAGGAGGCCTTCCTAATTGACCTGGCCCAGGTATCCTGGATGGATATAGATCTCATTCCGTCAGTAGAGGATGCCTGGTTGTTCCTTAAAAGTAATTTCCTCTCAATCTTTAATAAACATGCCCCATTCAAAAAATACAGAACTAAGAACCGATATAGCCCCTGGTTCTCCTCAGACTTGACTGCCCTTGACCAGCACAAAAAACATCCTGTGGCGTACAGCATTAGCATCAAATAGCCCCCGCGATATGCAACTTTTCAGGGAAGTTAGGAACCAATATACACAAGCAGTCAGGAAAGCAAAGGCTAACTTTTTCAAACAGAAATTTGCATCCTGTAGCACTAACTCCAAAAAGTTTTGGGACACTGTAAAGTCCATGGAGAATAAGAGCACTTCCTCCCAGCTGCCCACTGCACTGAGGCTAGGAAACACTATCACCACCGATAAATCTACAATAATCGAGAATTTCAACAAGCATTTTGCTACAGCTGGCCATGCTTTCCATCTGGCTACCACTAACCCGGCCACCAACTCTGCACCCTCTGCTGCAACTTGCCCATGCCCCCCCCCGCTTCTCCTTCACACAAATTCAGACAGCTGATGTTTTGAAAGCGCTGCAAAATCTGGACCCCTACAAATCAGCTGGGCTAGACAATCTGGACCCTTTCTTCCTAAAACTAGCCGCCAAAATTGTCGCAACCCCTATTACTAGTCTGTTCAACCTCTCTTTCATAACGTCTGAGATCCCCAGAGATTGGAAAGCTGCCGCGGTCATCCCCCTCTTCAAAGGGGGTGACACTCTAGATCCAAACTGCTACAGACCTATATCCATCCTGCCCTGCCTTTCGAAAGTATTCGAAAGCCAAGTTAACAAACAGATCATCGACCATTTCGAATACCACCGTACCTTCTTCTCCGCTATGCAATCCGGTTTCCGAGCTGGTCACGGGTGCCCTTCAGCCACGCTCAAGGTCCTAAACGATATTATAACCGCGATTGATAATAGACAGTACTGTGCAGCCGTCTTCATCGACCTGGCCAAGGCTTTCGACTCTGTCAACCACCCCGCATTCTTATTGGCAGACTAAATAGCCTTGGTTTCTCAAATGACTGCCTCGCCTGGTTCACCAACTACTTCTCAGATAGAGTTCAGTGTGTCAAATCGGAGGGCCTGTTGTCTGGACCTATGGCAGTCTCTATGGGGGTGCCACAGGGTTCAATTCTTGGGCCGACACTTTTTCTCCGTGTATATCAATGATGTCGCTCTTGCTGCTGGTGACTCTCAGATCCACCTCTACGCAGACGACACCATTTTGTATACATCTGGCCCTTCATTGGACACTGTGTTAACAAACCTCCAAACGAGCTTCAATGCCATACAACAATCCTTCAGTAGCCTTCAACTGCTCTTAAACACTAGTAAAACTAAATGCATGCTTTTCAATCGAACGCTGCTAGCACCCCCCACCGCCCACCCGACTAGAATCACCACTCTCGACGGGTCTGACCTAGAGTATGTGGACAACTACAAATATCTAGGTGTCTGGTTAGACTGTAAACTCAACTTCCAGACTCACATAAAGAATCTCCAATCCAAAGTTAAATCTAGAATCGGCTTCCTATTTCGCAACAAAGCCTCCTTCACTCATGCTGCCAAACATGCCCTCGTAAAACTGACTATCCTACCGATCCTTGACTTCGGCGATGTCATTTACAAAATAGCCTCCAACACTCTACTCAGCAAATTGGATGTAGTCTATCACAGTGCCATCCGTTTTGTCTCCAAAGCCCCATACACTACCCACCACTGTGACCTGTACGCTCTTGTTGGCTGGTCCTCACTACATGTTCGTCGTCAAAACCCACTGGCTCCAGGCCATCTATAAATCACTGCTAGGCAAATCCCCGCCTTATCTTAGCTCATTGGTCACCATAGCAGCACCCACCCGCAGTCTGCGCTCCAGCAGGTATATCTCACTGGTCATTCCCAAAGCCAACACCTCCTTTGGCCGCCATTCCTTCCAGTTCTCTGCTGCCAATGACTGGAACGAATTGCAAAAATCTCTGAAGCTGGAGACTCTTATCTCCCCCCAATAACTTTAAGCATCAGTTGTCAGAGCACCTTACCGATCACTGCACCTGTACACAGCCCATCTGAAATTAGCCCACCCAACTACCTCATCCCTATATTGTTATTTAATTTGCTCTTTTGCACCCCAGTATCTCTATTTGCACATAATCTCTTGCACATCTAGCATTCCAGTGTTAATACTATTGTAATTATTCTGCACTATAGCCTATTTATTGCCTTACCCTCCATAACTTGCTACATTTGCACAGACTGTATATATATTTTCTGTTGTATTTCTGACTTTATGTTTTTTTTTTTACCCCATATGTAACTCTGTGTTGTATTTATTGCACTACTTTGCTTTATCTTGGCCAGGTCGCAGTTGTAAATGAGAACCTGTTCTCAACTGGCTTACCTGGTTAAATAAAGGTGAAATAAATAAATAAAAAAACCGGTCTTTCCTCTTCTCCCACCGTAGTCACAGTGAAGCCAAGCGCTACATACGCTTCGTCATATTTCCTCGTCTTAGCTTTCGGGAGACTTACGTTTGTCTCATTATCTCCGTCTCTCTCCCGCCTTTCTTTTCATCCCTGTTAGATATGTTTCCATGGCGTCTCTTAAGGGTTTTGTTTATCTGCACTTCATATCTCCTACTCTGTGCTTTTGTTCGGTTGCAAATAAAAAACTACTCGCTGCGGCAAAAAAAAGCATGTTCCCCAGGGTCACACGCGCCCCCCCGGCATCGCTCCGAGCCCCCCCAGGGGGGCGCGCCCCACTATTTGAGAAGGACTGGGCTAAAGTGATGCTCAAACTGGGGACAGGGATTTGAAGCGTAAAGCTGTCTTGTGTGTGCAGTAGTCAACGTCAGATGTAGGTTCTTAATTTGACCAGTTTCTCACAGCAGGAAAATAATCCTGCAGCAACAGGAAATGTGAATTATTATGTGGATAGTAATTAAATGGACATTTTTGGAGGGGTTGATACGTTTTACATGTTTTTTAAGCTTCTAATACATTACAAGTTTGCTTTTCCTGCAGCGCAGGAAGATTCTCAAACAACAGGTTGATCAAATATTGTGTTGTCATGCTGTGTTGTCATTCTGTGTTGTTGTCTTAGGTCTCTCTTTATGTCGTGTTGTGATTTCTCTTTTTTCGTGATGCGTGATTTGTCCTACATTTAAATGTTTAATTCTAGCCCCCCGTCCCCACAGGAGGCCTTTTGCCTCTTGCTAGGCCGTCATTGTAAATAATAATTAGTTCTTAATTGACTTGCCTGGTTAAATACAAATAAATAAAATAAAGGTTAAATAAAATAAAATTAAGATCCTACATCTGTACTGATGGGCCCCTTCTCCTATAGAATTTTCATTAAACAAACATGGCCCAACGGTCTCCAAAAAATATATATGTTGCCAATGACCCCATCCAAGGTGCTTGAATTGTGTCGAGTTTGTGGATCTACTTTCGATGCAATAAGAAAGAAATTCATTTAATTTTAGAAAAGGTTGAACAATAACACCGGACTACGTTCAAAATCCTCACTCCAATAATAATGGGCATACAACCAAGAAAATGTTCAGAGTATGTAACATCTAGCACTCTGAATCAGGTGATTCAATCCCTGGTCCTATCACACCTAGAGTGCTGTCCAGTTATATGGTCATCTGCAGCAAAGAAATATATAAAAAATCTCAAAATCGCTTAAAACAGGGCTGCCAGATTAACTCTTCATTGCTCTAATCCATATGAATATTATCCAAATGCATCAGAATCTCTCATGGCTTCACGTTGAAAACAAATTACTATCCAGTCTTCTGATTGTCTGTAGGAATGTTATATTTGTCAAAAAACACAGTGTTTTTCAGACCAGTTAGTACATACTAGCAACACGCATAACCACCAAACCAGACAGGTAAATGCAGGGCATCTAAGACAACCCAAGCCAAGGACAAATCGCCTTAAATCTGCAGTTTTATATAGAGCCATAGCTGAATGGAACTCTTTACCAATCCATATTTCTCAGGCAAAAAGTAAATCCACCTTCAAGAAAAAAATAGACCATATGACTGGACAGGAAATAGAAAGCATCAACTGAATGTGAAATGTCTTACCTGTCAGGTATTTTAATTGTCTGTATTGTCTACTTATTAAATGTTTGTAAAGTCTTAATTTGTAATTGTTTGTAAAGTCTTATTAATTGGTGTTGGACCCTAGGAAGATTAGCTAACGTTGCGGCGTTAGCTAATGGGGATCCTAGTAAAAATTCACAAATTCACAATAGAGCCCCACAGTGGAGGTGTCATAATACCCATAAAACCTAGTGGTCAAGCAGGGAAATGGTTCCAATAATTTTTCCACCATTCATTTTTCCCATAGGGGATTTTAGAAACAATTAAAATAAGGGCTGTGTTTTGTGTAGGCTTACCCTGGCGTGACATTTTGATAACCATGTAAATCTCTCTCAGACAAAGGTTACTTTTATCAATATATTCGGCTCCCATCATGTAAACCGGATTGTAAGAGACAATGTTCTTTTGGTAAAGCATGTAAACTTTTTAATTGAACTATTATATTAAAGAGGTTGAACGGGATCTTAAGCACTTACAAATTTGTAGCATATTGTACATATAAAAAAATATAAAAAATATTTAAAAAATTGCAGAAATGGATGACGCACAATTTTCAGGGAGCCATTTTGGCTCGTGGGCGCTACTTTCAAAACTACTTGCTGAAATTATACAAAACCTTTATAATGCATCTTTATTATGAGTATTCCCAATAATTGTAGTATTGTGTGCATGTAAACATACTCTGCACAATTCCATGTTGACACTCTTTCACTGCTTTGCGTGTGCCAACACGGATGATAAACACAAGTGAAATTATCAGAAGGGGGGGGGGCTTTGGCTGAGAGTGTCCGTTTACGAGACTTTGCAAATCGTGTTATCACAATTTCTAACATGTCTCAACCCGGAATTTAATTGAGCATCTGACCAAATTACGCAAGATTTTAGGGTTAACCGAGATTAGCCCATACCTAACTAACAAACATCCTCAATTACCTACTATCCAAGATATAACAATATCATCAATTTATCATTGACTGTAGATGTATTATAACCATAATAAATGATCATGATCAACAATGTGACTCACCAAATCTTTGTTCGCCTTTATCTTCGCTCTAAGAGGTGCATATGAGCTGTTGAATAAAATTAGACCTACATTTTATCCAGAGTTGCTATGTGATCTTAGAAAATTGGTGTAACAGACTGGTGGACTAATCAAAAGGAGAGTGGTTACTCACAAAGTGATGTGAGATCCATTGGTGATGGCGCCGGGTAGCCACTGAAGGTCCAGAGTCTTGAAAGGGAAAAGCACGAGAGTAGTGGTGTTGTCCAGATCTATGGCACTCTCTGGGTACATGATGTGATGCGTGGTCCGGCTGCCAACATCCTGCTCATAACCAGAGGTGGGAGCCTTGTTCATTCTGGATAACACAGAAAATCCATATCACGACTGCCATAATATTCCAAAACACTTTAATTCAAAACACATAGTCATTCATACCGCCAAGACAAAAAAATTAACACACAAAACCAAACCAATATAGGCCTACATACAGTGGGGGGAAAAAGTATTTAGTCAGCCACCAATTGTGCAAGTTCTCCCACTTAAAAAGATGAGAGAGGCCTGTAATTTTCATCATAGGTACACGTCAACTATGACAGACAAATTGAGGAAATAAAATCCAGAAAATCACATTGTAGGATTTTTAATGAATTTATTTGCAAATTATGGTGGAAAATAAGTATTTGGTCACCTACAAACAAACAAGATTTCTGGCTCTCACAGACCTGTAACTTCTTCTTTAAGAGGCTCCTCTGTCCTCCACTCGTTACCTGTATTAATGGCACCTGTTTGAACTTGTTATCAGTTTAAAAGACACCTGTCCACAACCTCAAACAGTCACACTCCAAACTCCACTATGGCCAAGACCAAAGAGCTGTCAAAGGACACCAGAAACAAAATTGTAGACCTGCACCAGGCTGGGAAGACTGAATCTGCAATAGGTAAGCAGCTTGGTTTGAAGAAATCAACTGTGGGAGCAATTATTAGGAAATGGAAGACATACAAGACCACTGATAATCTCCCTCGATCTGGGGCTCCATGCAAGATCTCACCCCGTGGGGTCAAAATGATCACAAGAACGGTGAGCAAAAATCCCAGAACCACATGGGGGGACCTAGTGAATGACCTGCAGAGAGCTGGGACCAAAGTAACAAAGCCTACCATCAGAAACACACTACGCCGCCAGGTACTCAAATCCTGCAGTGCCAGACGTGTCCCCCTGCTTAAGCCAGTACATGTCCAGGCCCGTCTGAAGTTTGCTAGAGTGCATTTGGATGATCCAGAAGAGGATTGGGAGAATGTCATATGGTCAGATGAAACCAAAATAGAACTTTTTGGTAAAAACTCAACTCGTCGTGTTTGGAGGACAAAGAATGCTGAGTTGCATCCAAAGAACACCATACCTACTGTGAAGCATGGGGGTTGAAACATCATGCTTTGGGGCTGTTTTTTCTGCAAAGGGACCAGGACGACTGATCCGTGTAAAGGAAAGAATGAATGGGGCCATGTATCGTGAGATTTTGAGTGAAAACCTCCTTCCATCAGCAAGGGCATTGAAGATGAAACGTGGCTGGGTCTTTCAGCATGACAATGATTCCAAACACACCGCCCTGGCAACGAAGGAGTGGCTTCCTAAGAAGCATTTCAAGGTCCTGGAGTGGCCTAGCCATTCTCCAGATCTCAACCCCATAGAAAATCTTTGGAGGGAGTTGAAAGTCTGTGTTGCCAGCGACAGCCCCAAAACATAACTGCTCTAGAGGAGATCTGCATGGAGGAATGGGCCAAAATACCAGCAACAGTGTGTGAAAACCTTGTGAAGACTTACAGAAAACGTTTGACCTGTGTCATTGCCAACAAAGGGTATATAACAAAGTATTGAGAAACTTTTGTTATTGACCAAATACTTATTTTCCACCATAATTTGCAAATAAATTCATTAAAAATCCTACAATGTGATTTTCTGGATTTCTTTTCCTCATTTTGTCTGTCATAGTTGACGTGTACCTATGATGAAAACTACAGGCCTCTCTCATCTTTTTAAGTGGGAGAACTTGCACAATTGGTGGCTGACTAAATACTTTTTTTCCCCACTGTAGATGACATTAAATCATTAAGTTGGATAAAGGCAGATCTTTACCATACTGTCTTCTGTGACACCATGGTAAAGGCCATTGTGGTCTATCTCTATTTTAAAGTAGTTGATTTCTTCTTATTCTATTTTTTAGTCATTTATTTTAGCAGACACTCTTACACAGAGCAACTTACAGTCAGTGAGTGCATACATCATTATTTTTTTCAGTATGAAAAAGCCCCCCATGGGAATCGAACACACAACCCTGGCGTTGCAAACACCATGCTCTACCATCTCAGCTACATCCCTGCCAGCCATTCCCTCCCCTACCCTGGGCCAATTGTGCGCCGCCCCATGGGTCTCCCGGTCACGGCCGGCTACGACAGAGCCTGGATTCGAACCCGGATCTCTAGTGGCACAGCTAGCACTGCTATGCAACACTAAAGTGTTGACTCTCCCGAGTGGCACAGTGGTCTACAAACTGAAAGGGTGCATATACTGCCACCTGGAGTGTGTTGTCTGAACAGGTATAAAAGCCAAGGTTGGTGATTAACTGCCACATGCAGCTATGGAATGTTCTCGTGGAGTGTGATCTCATTCACTACTTCCCACAAATCTAAAAGCATTGAACAACATTTTTTTTACATTTTTACATTTTTAGTCATTTAGCGGACGCTCTTATCCAGAGCGACTTACAGTTAGTGAGTGGATACATTATTTATTTTTTCATACCCCCCCCCCCCCCCCCCCGTGGGAACAACCACGTGCAAGTGAACAAGTGCACACTGAGGTAGGTGTCACGATCGAGGTAAGGAGTAGACCAAGGCGCAGCGTGATGTACAAACATACTTTAATTAGTTAAAGTTTAAACATGAATACAAAACAAGAAACGACTCGTGACGTCCACGGTATCAATGACCGAACACGGAACAAAAACCCACAAACACAAAGGGAAAACAGACAGTTTAAATATGGCTCCCAATCAGAGACAACCAGCCAACAGCTGACACTCGTTGCCTCTGATTGGGAGTCACTCAGGCAAACATAGAATTAAACACAACAGAATTACCAACATAGAAATACACACATAGAATGAACACACCCTGGCTCAACATAATGAGTCCCAGAGCCAGGGTGTGACAGTACCCCCCCCCCTAAAGGCGCGGACTGCGACCGCGCCTCAACTAAACAAAACAGGGGAGGGCTGGGCGGGCATACCTCCTCGGCGGCGGTTCTGGCTCCGGCCTTGACCACCACCCTCCAATACACCCCCCATAGCGCCCCTGGTCCAGTCTGGCCCCGCCGGCTGGAGCCGAACTGGACTTAGCAGGAGCGGTTAGCTTCAGCTCCATAGTGGAGCAGTTGACCGGTACCTTACCAGGCACCGGTGACCCAGGCACGGGTTGTGCTGGACTGACGACGCGCACCCCTGGCTTGGTGCGTGGAGGAGGAACGGGCCTTACCAGGCTGACGACGCGCACCCCTGGCTTGGTGCGTGGAGGAGGGACGGGCCTTACCAGGCTGACGACTCGCACCCCTGGCTTGGTGCGTGGAGGAGGGACGGGCCTTACCAGGCTGACGACTCGCACCCCTGGCTTGGTGCGAGTGGCAGGAACAGGCCGGGCCGGGCTGGCGACGCGCACCGTAGACTTGGTGCGAGTGGCAGGAACAGGCCGGGCCGGGCTGGCGACGCGCACCGTATACTTGGTGCGAGTGGCAGGAACAGGCCGGGCCGGGCTGTCGACGCGCACCGTAGACTTGGTGCGTGGAGCAGGGACAGGCCGGGCTGGCGACGCGCACCGTAGACTTGGTGCGAGTGGCAGGAACAGGCCGGGCCGGGCTGGCGACGCGCACCGTATACTTGGTGCGAGTGGCAGGAACAGGCCGGGCCGGGCTGGCGACGCGCACCGTAGACTTGGTGCGTGGAGCAGGGACAGGCCGGACCGGGCTGGCGACGCACACCGTAGGCTTGGTGCGTGGAGCAGGGACAGGCCGGACCGGGCTGGCGACGCACACCGTAGGCTTGGTGCGTGGAGCAGGGACAGGCCGGACCGGGCTGGCGACGCACACCGTAGGCTTGGTGCGTGGAGCAGGGACTGGCCGGACTGGGCTGGCGACGCACACCGTAGGCTTGGTGCGTGGAGCAGGGACAGGCCGAACCGGGCTGTGGAGACGGATAGGAGCCCTGGAGTGAAGAGCGGCCACAACCCGTCCTGGCTGAATGCCTACCCTCACACACTCTGTGTGAGGCATCCGCACAGGACGTACAGGGCGGTGTATCCGTAACCTGGTGGCCTCCAGAATCCGCCCCTCTTTTGCCTCCGTCAGCCCCGTCGTCCATGCCGTGTGCCCCCCCCTAAACATTTTCTGGGGTTGCCTCTCGACCGCCCGACGACGACCCTGATCACGCCGTTGCTCCTCTCTACGGCGCGCCTCCACCGTCTCTTCTCCCGGCGCTTCCTCCCATGTCCAGCCCAAGAGCTGCCCCTGGACACGCTGCTTGGTCGTTGCATGGTGGGTTTTTCTGTCACGATCGAGGTAAGGAGTAGACCAAGGCGCAGCGTGATGAACAAACATACTTTAATTAGTTAAAGTTTAAACATGAATACAAAACAAGAAACGACTCGTGACGTCCACGGTATCAATGACCGAACACGGAACAAAAACCCACAAACACAAAGGGAAAACAGACAGTTTAAATATGGCTCCCAATCAGAGACAACCAGCCAACAGCTGACACTCGTTGCCTCTGATTGGGAGTCACTCAGGCAAACATAGAATTAAACACAACAGAATTACCAACATAGAAATACACACATAGAATGAACACACCCTGGCTCAACATAATGAGTCCCAGAGCCAGGGTGTGACAGTAGGAGGGACAAATGGGACACCCTCTCAGTTGGCCTACCTTATGATGACATCACTGGAGTCGATGAGGGCTCCGTAGTGGGAGCCCTTGAGGTTCCCAGAGTTCCCCACTACAGCACAGGTCCTACAGCGCTCAGGGCCCGCGTCCATGTAAAGGTCAGCCTCAGGGATGACCTGGAACAGCTTCTCCACCACCTCGCTATAGTTGGCTTTGGTATGTTCTTCCTGCAATTTCTGGTTATTTAATTGCACCAGTCAATACATAAAACAGCAATGAATAAACAATAAATACACAACAATGGACAGACTGACACTAAAAGCAGCCTAATGCAAATTACACACCATAACATCTGAGGAAACCCTCACACTAAAGTGTTGACTCCAGAGCCACGTGCTCTTTACACTGAGGTTAGTTGGTGACTACAATAGCAAACCGTTAATCAGTTGTCAGTGACCACGCTTATATTGCAGCCTAAAAACATCAAATAAAATAGTTAATTCTGAATAAAACTCCCTCATATAAACACCAAAATACTCAAATTAAAAAAACACGCAACCACAGTAAACTATTGGAGATTCTTAAAGGGATAGTGTGAGGGTCAGATGAACTAGTGGATACCATGTTTATGTCTCTGCGTACAGTTTGACAGAAGTTTAAGGTAGTTTCTGGAGCGATTGCCAGAGGTGGGACTAAGTCACTATTATTCGAATCACAAGCAAGTCACAAGGTCCAAGTCTCAAGTCGAGTCCCAAGTAGAACCGGTCGAGTCTCGAGTCATGTCCAAGACGTGCATTCTAAGGACAAGTCGAGTCACAAGTCTCAAGTCAAGTAAAAATAATCGATAGAGGCAATCTCGTTCAACTACAAATCTTTGTCTATTTATTGAGGAACCAGACAGCCCTCTTCATTATTTTGTCTACAACACATTTTGATTATGTAATAATCCATTTTAACAACAAATTCCAAAAGCAAGTTTCATAAGTAAATGATACATTTCAAGCCATTTTGCCATACCAAATGACCAGTAGGCCTATGCTAGTAATTGTTGCTTGATGCCCCATTGCTACTGAGCTTGCAAAGTAAACGGTTCATATTCTTGATCACCAAAATGTTTTGGAACTGCATTTTTATTTATGTCAATCCTCTCTCCCTACAATTTGACGTTTGCGCTGCACCCGATCCTACAGCTGTACAGCAAATCAGAAATACAGTGGGGAGAACAAGTATTTGATACACTGCCGATTTTGCAGGTCTTTCTACTTACAAAGCATGTAGAGGTCTGTAATTTTTATCATAGGTACACTTCAACTGTGAGAGACTGAATCTAAAACAAAAATCCAGAAAATCACATTGTATGATTTTTAAGTAATTCATTTGCATTTTATTGCATGACATAAGTATTTGATCACCTACCAACCAGTAAGAATTCCGGCTCTCACAGACCTGTTAGTTTTTCTTTAAGAAGCCCTCCTGTTCTCCACTCATTACCTGTATTAACTGCACCTGTTTGAACTCGTTACCTGTATAAAAGACACCTGTCCACACACTCAATCAAACAGACTCCAACCTCTCCACAATGGCCAAGACCAGAGAGCTGTGTAAGGACATCAGGGATAAAACTGTAGACCTGCACAAGGCTGGGATGGGCTACAGGACAATAGGCAAGCAGCTTGGTGAGAAGGCAACAACTGTTGGCGCAATTATTAGAAAATGGAAGAAGTTCAAGATGACAGTCAATCACCCTCGGTCTGGGGCTCCATGCAAGATCTCACCTCGTGGGGCATCAATGATCATGAGGAAGGTGAGGGATCAGCAAAGAACTACACGGCAGGACCTGGTCAATGACCTGAAGAGAGCTGGGACCACAGTCTCAAAGAAAACCATTAGTAACACACTACGCCGTCATGGATTAAAATCCTGCAGCGCACGCAAGGTCCCCCTGCTCAAGCCAGCGCATGTCCAGGCCTGTCTGAAGTTTGCCTATGACCATCTGGATGATCCAGAGGAGGAATGGGAGAAGGTCATGTGGTCTGATGAGACAAAAATATAGCTTTTTGGTCTAAACTCCATTCGCCGTGTTTGGAAGAAGAAGAAGGATGAGTACAACCCCAAGAACACCATCCCAACCGTGAAGCATGGAGGTGGAAACATCATTCTTTGGGGATGCTTTTCTGCAAAGGGGACAGGACGACTGCACCGTATTGAGGGGAGGATGGATGGGGCCACGTATCGCGAGATCTTGGCCAACAACCTCCTTCCCTCAGTAAGCGCATTGAAGATGGGTCGTGGCTGGGTCTTCCAGCATGACAACGACCCGAAACACACAGCCAGGGCAACTAAGGAGTGGCTCCGTAAGAAGCATCTCAAGGTCCTGGAGTGGCCTAGCCAGTCTCCAGACCTGAATCCAATAGAAAATCTTTGGAGGGAGCTGAAAGTCTGTATTGCCCAGCGACAGCCCCGAAACCTGAAGGATCTGGAGAAGGTCTGTATGGAGGAGTGGGCCAAAATCCCTGCTGCAGTGTGTGCAAACCTGGTCAAGACCTACAGGAAACGTATGATCTCTGTAATTGCAAACAAAGGTTTCTGTACCAAATATTATGTTCTGCTTTTCTGATGTATCAAATACTTATGTCATGCAATAAAATGCAAATTAATTACTTAAAAATCATACAATGTGATTTTCTGGATTTTTGTTTTAGATTCAGTCTCTCACAGTTGAAGTGTACCTATGATAAAAATTACAGACCTCTACATGCTTTGTAAGTAGAAAGACCTGCAAAATCGGCAGTGTATCAAATACTTGTTCTCCCCACTGTATGTTCGCTAGCTCAGTGGTTTTCAAACTTTTTGACCCGCGATCCTTAAAAAGGAGTGGTTCAAAGCTTGTGACCCCCGCGCATGCACATGCACGCATGCACAATCGCTACGCAAATGTAACCTCCCACTGGGCACAAACATCAACTCAATGTCTATTCAACCAGTGTGTGCCCAGTGGGCTGTCATTACAGCCATAAACGGTGATGCATTTTCAAAACAAGATACAGAAATAAATGCAATTTACACCTGCATTTTGAGCTGAAAGTAATTTATGTTAGCGGTCAATATCAACTTGGGATATCATGTCACATTGTCACTTCTCTGGAGTCCAGAGCAAGCAGGATTATACGGCTCGATCGGATGGAAAGCAGGATCTGTCTGTAGCCTTTTTCTTCCTCACAACTATTGTAATAATTTGCCAGAATATGTTACATCTTCATCCCATAAATATTGAAGGTAGTTTGATGTTACAGCTATCTTTAGAAATATAGCCAGTACCACCACTGAGGTATATAATTATAACCCACCCAAGCTAGGCCGATCTGAAATATGAAAATGAAATCAGCAGGTAGCCTATTTGGAAAGGGGAATTGCGTTCAACCGAAATATGTCTTCCACATTTAACCCAACCCCTCTGAATCAGAGAGGTGCGGGGGGCTGCCTTAATCCACGTCATCGGCGCCCAGGAAGCAGTTGTTTTGGGGGCAGATTTTTCAACTTTGCCGGCTCAGGGATTCGAACAAGCAACCTTTCAGTTACTGTCTCAATGCTCTATTTTCTTTAAAATTATTTGATAAAATATAGAATTTGGCCTTTCCTACTATAGCCCATAGAAACACATTGAATGACGCATTCATAAATGGTAAAAAAAAGACAGTCCAAAAAGAAATCATAAGGAAGAAGGTTTTGACGTGTCTGTCCTATAGCTAGCAGATATACGAATGCTCAGGAAATATTTTGGGATTTTTGGACACATATTTAACTCCTTATTTTTGTTGGCAGAACACTACCTCCATACTTCCATTCATTTACATGGGTTGCCTTCAGACGAGTCCCGTGACACTTGAGGGGGTCGTAGAGCAAAACGGTATAACACCATCATGTTCGTGAGAGTCTCCATAGAGTGGGCCAAACCGTTTGGACGCTACAGACGTTTTCGTGAGAAGACCGATTTTTTTGGGATGTCTCATGGTCTGACAAACACCGCTGTAGCTCGGCCACCTTCCACCGCAGATGCAGAAGGCCGACATAGGCGGAGGCGGTAGATTGAGACGCAGCCCATATCTCTAGCTTAATGAGACGCAGCCCATATCTCTAGCTTAAATTGACGGATTTTGATGGGGATGTTTTTATTATGTTACTTAGATTGATACACGGGTGCGTCAGTAGACTCATATCCCTCCCCCCTTTCCTGCAGTCAAATGACCAAATCGCCCTCTAGTGGCCTCATGAGTGGAATGTTATTAATACTTTTCATAATTTCATAATTAATCAACATTATTATTATTTTTACGCCGAAAATCTGGTTTTGATATATTTCAGTCTTCTGTGATGTATATAAAGTGTAATATTGCAATGCAAACTCAAAATGGAATACATTTCAACTCTATATCTGACAAGGTACAGGTGTCTTCTTTTTTTAAGACCATAATCGATGTAGTTGAGGTGTATACTTTTTTTTTTCAACAAACAAGAAATACTCTGTGTGACCCTGATTCAGCCCACTGCAGTAAAATATTTTAAGGATGTAAGTAGGCTACTCTGTTTTTGCCAAGAAAACTGGAGAAAATTAAACAAGTGCTCGCTGGTCACTAATCTGGAAAAGTGTGCCCGCTTTTGCATGCCAATGCTGATGACTGGTCATTGGTCAACAGTCAAGACGTGCAATTTGCTGGTTCTGAAGCACAGATTAGATGCTTTTTAAACAAGAATTTGGTGCAATGCCGTAGGCCTAAGTGACCGGATCAAATAAGCAAAGGTATAAACACAAAATACAAAATGGTAAATGATTTGTAGCCTATTAAATATGTAGCGTATTAAAATATATAAATGGTAGCCACTCCAGTTTTCTGCTGCTTTCATGAGGTCATCATTTAAAAAGCCTTACAACCTCTCATTCATTCATTTTCACACTCGCAACCCCCAAAAACTTCTCAGTGCTCTAGCTCACCCGACCTGTGTTGATTGAGGGCCGATCAGAGGGCCTTTGTTTCACTAGCCAATCTGCTTTTTTGCAAGTGTGATACTGTTTCTGGCTGCATGCAGAACAATCCACAGATAATCTGTGCCACAAAATGAGTGACAAAACGTTACAAAACCAGGCCAGATCATTTCAAGTCATCAGTCTCAAGTCAAAAGTCGAGTCCCGAGTCTTGAGGCTCCAAGTCGAGTCTCAAGTTATTTTATTTTATATCAAGTCGAGTCTCAAGTAATTCAAATTTGTGACTCGAGTCAGACTCAAGTCCAAGTCATGTGACTCAAGTTCTGACTGAATATGTGAATATGTGTTGGGTGTGCACTGACAATGCTTTTATTGCTTTAAGATAAGATGTAATAAAAAATAAAAATAAATTACCAGCCACCACGTTCTTGTATCGTTGGAGAGTGTCTTGTACTCTCTGGTCAGAAATGGTTTAAAAGATGTGATGAAGCGCTTCTGAAACCAGAGGTCATCGTCCGGCTGTGTCATACATTTGAGACATCCGCAATTTCTTGGAGAGATGATCCTGTCCAGTGGCCGAAGGGCATTTTTAACTAAATCCACAAGCGAATTGGAGGATAGCTGTCCAGTATAAAACACAACGATAGTAGTGATGCAGAGTAGAACGATGAAACGATAGTCTTTTCTAATCCTGAAGAGAATCATTTTGCCGATAGCATGGCATCTGTTGGGTGTCACAGAATCCTCACCACCTGTGAAGAGATCAATAATAAACTGATAATAACATTGTATATAGAATAGATGTAGCCTATAGGTCTTAATAAAACAGCTGAAGGATGATAGGCAAATTAACATCATATTCAGTCTACATTATGTTTTGTTTTTCCAAATGTTTTACCTGAAAATGTGCATAATAGCCTAATGAAGGCTATAGTTCACATGTTCACAAATTAAGAGGTAAGCTAGCCTTTGTTCTGGTTTAGTCAACAAAAAAGGTGATTTCATGACCATCAAATACCCTCTGGTCTGTCATTGAAATATATATTAAATGAAATACAGTGCCTTCAGAAAGTATTCACACCCCATGACTTTTTCCACATTTTGTTGTGTTAAAGCCTGAATTTAAAATGTATTACAGTTTTTGCCTACACACAATAGCCCTTAATGTCAAAGTGGAATTATGTTTTTCAAAATGTTTACAAATTAGCTCAACTGCCTTGAGTCAATAAGTACTCAACCCCTTTGTTATGGCAAGCCTAAATACGTTCAGGAGTTCAAATTTGCTTAACAAGTCACATAATAAGTTGCATGGACTCAATCTGTGTGCAATAATAGTTTTTAACATGATTTTTGAATGATTACCTCATCTCTGTACAATTATCTGTAAGGTACCTCAGTCGAGCAGTGAAAGCTCAAAGACCAGGGAGGTCTTCCAATGCCTCACAAATAATGTGGCAAAGCAATTAATTTTTTGTCAAAAAGTTACGTTACTGATTACAACTTTGGACAGGTAACTAGTAACTGTAACGGATTACATTAAGAGAGTAACATACCCAACCCTGGTTGTCGGTAACTTTTGCTGTAACACGCAAGTGAGAGAACAAGGGGTAAGTTGACATATAAATACGTCCCAAGATTTATACTAATTGGCTGAGAGACAGGAAGGTGATTATTGCACGAGTGCAGGCATAGGTTTTTCAGCAGGTGTGGTGAATTTGCATTATTGTGCCGTGCTCATAGGCTATAAAGGTGAATGACATTCCGCACATGGCTTATAGTACAAGATGAGGAGAGACATAATGCTATGCTGATAACGTTTGTTAACACTAACATACAGTGTATTCGGAAAGTATTCAGACCCCTTGACTGTTTCCACATTTTGTTATGTTACAGCCTTATTCTAAAATGGATTACATTGGTTTTTCCCCTCATCAGTCTACAGACAATACCCCATAATCACAAAGGAAAAACAGGTTTTTAGATATTTTTGCATATGTATTAAAAATATAAAATGGAAATATCACATTTACATAAGTATTCAGACCCTTTACTCAGTACTTTGTTGAAATGCCTTTGGCAGCGATTACAGCCTTGAGTCTTCTTGGGTATGACACAGCTGTATTTGGGGAGTTTATCCCATTCTTCTCTGCAGATCCGCTCAAGCTCTGTCAGGTTGGATGGGGAGCGTCGCTGCACAGCTATTTTCAGGTCTCTCCAGAAATGTTATATCGCGTTCAAGTCCGGGCTCTGGCTGGGCCACTCAAGGACATTCAGAGACTTGTCCCAAAACCACTCCTGTGTTGTCTTGGCTGTGTGCTTAGGGTCGTTGTTCTGTTGGAAGGTGAACCTTCGCCCCAGTCTGAGGTCCTGTGCGCTCTGGATCTCTCTGTACTTTGCTCCATTCATCTTTCCCTCAATCCTGACTTGTCTCCCATTCCCTGCCGCTGAAAAACATCCCCACTGCATGATGCTGCCACCACCATGCTTCACCGTAGGGATGGCATTGGCCAGGTGATGAGCGGTGCCTGGTTTAATCCAGACGTGACGCTTGGCATTCAGGCCAAAGAGTTCAATCTCGGTTCCATCAGACCAGAGAATCTTGTTTCTCATGGTCTGAGAGTCCTTTAGGTGCCTTTTGGCAAAATCCAAGCGGGTTTGTCATGTGCCTTTTACTGAGGAGTGGCTTCCTTCTGGCCTCTCTACCATAAAGGCCTGATTGGTGGAGTGCTGCAGAGATGGTTGTCCTTCTGGAAGGTTCTCCCATCTCCACAGAGGAACTTTGGAGCTCTGTCAGAGTGACCATCGGGTTCTTGGTCACCTCCCTGACCAAGGCCCTTCTCCCCCGATTGCTCTAGGAAGAGTCTTGTTGGTTCTAAACTTCTTCCATTGAAGAATGATGGAGGCCACTGTGTTCTTGGGGATCTTCAATGCTGCAGACATTTTTTGTACCCTTCCCCAGATCTGTGTCTCGACACAATACTGTCTCGGAGCTCTACGGATAATTCCTTCGACCTCATGGCTTGGTTTTTGCTCTGACATGCACTGTAAACTGTGGGACCTTATATAGACAGGTGTGTGCTTTTCCAAATCATGTCCAATCAATTGAATTTACCACAGGTAGACTGCAATGAAGTTGTATAAACATCTCAAGGATGATCAATGGAAACATGATGCACCTGAGCTCAATTTCGAGTATCTAAAGTATATTATTGAGTATTGTGAGTATTGTGTATTGTGTGTAGATTGATGAGGGGAAAAAACGATTTAATCAATTTTAGAATAAGGCTGTAATGTAACAAAATGTGTAAAAAGTCAAGGGGTCTGAATACTTCCCGTATGCACATAACATTCCAACTATGACCATAGAAGAGGAAGCAATGTGTTGTTTTTATTGTGCTTACTGAATTAAGTGAGCTGCCCACTCAGACCAGCCTTACTTATTGAGCTTTCTTTATAAACTACATTAGTGTTCCAAAGAATAACTATAAAAAAAGTCCGAAATAAGTTGTACAATACTGCTGATGCAAGTCCCATTAACTAGAAAAGTAAATGTCCTAAAGATGTGTGTGGTTGGTAGCTTGTCTTAAAGTTGTTAAGGTTGTAAAATAAGAAGTGGTGAAAGTAAGGCAGTAAGGTCCGGTATGTCAGAGGCATGAAAAATGAGCAAATGGACTTGAAAACAGGTGGTATGTAATGCAATGTGGTTCAACAAGAACACTGATATTTTGCCAAGGCAGAGATGAGTGGCCGAGGCGCGCGGACAGAAGTGGAGGCATTAATTCTGGCATAATGACAATGGCCAAATGTCATTACACTTTTTGGTGTTTTGTGTAACAGATGTCTCTTTCCATTCACCACTGTTTGGAAGCTGGAAATATGTTGCGAATGGATGAATTCGCGCGAGTAGCCTAGTAAAGGAGCCCTTTGAAGTGATTGTTTGACAATCAGATGAAAACATCATGACTGGTTGTGTTTATGGCACAATAAAAGGTAATACATTTTTTTATACAAAATAATGACAAATCTTTATGGCTAGGCCCACAGAGATGCTATTGAATAAATGGGGATTCTAAAAAATAATTATATGATTAGGCGGCCCGCCCGCCATTTAGGTAGAGCGGCAGTTTGACGAGAGCGGCATTTTCCGAGCTAAACTCACCAAGACGTACCTCCAACAACACATAACACCTCACATTATTCTGCCTAAATGCAATGATAACAGCACTAACAGTGCCCACTTTGCCAAGGGCAAGGGCGCAAAATATTTAGCTTGTCCATGCCCAGCGCGCCTCTCCAGGGTGCTGTTGGAGAGACGCAGCGCTGCAGCGCTCCACCAACGCTCCATTAAATTAATTTAACATAAATGATATAGCCTACGGTAGAAAGAGTAGTAGCCTATGTGGTTTTTCTGTAGCCCATAGACTGGAGACCAAATGTATTACAATTTCATGAGACATACACTTTTTCAATCATTGACTTAGTGCGTGAGCAACGAAACTAGTTAACGAAAGTCAACTAAAAAGGCAAGCGGTTAGACATCAGTTTTGGAGCGGATGCGGCATAATCCAACAGAGGTGGACAGCAAATTGTGCTGAAAGTAATTCATTTGAACAATTGTCTTCATTTTAATTCGACCTCACTAACAACAAGAGGGCTTTGTTGGAGCCTATTTCTTCTTATAAAAAAATAAGAGGTAGGGCTACCTGTTTGACAGACGCAATGGATGTCAGTATAGCCAAATCCCCCAATACTGTCACCATGCACTCCTTAAATACCTCCATGTCTGGGAGCGGCTTGGTGTGTTTGGTTAAACCAGGGCTCACATTAAGTGAGGGTATGCCTTAAAGACAAGGGCAAAAAAAGGATACCTATTGTTAGCTTTATTTTTTGAAATAAATCAATTAAAAGTATCCAGATAATATAAAGCATTATATAACAATGCTTAACTCCGTGATGCCTTATTCTAGAAACAGGCTTTAAAATGCCCACAAAATACGTGACTCTGATGCATATGGAGATATATTGATTCCTTCCTATCATGGATGAAGCCTGAGCTGGAATGTGAAGCTAACTAAAGCTAGCCAATTCAATAAAAACCTGAGTACATCTTAGCTAGATTCTTAGTATACCCTCAGGGTTAACAATAACATGTATCGACGTTTGAAAGGACAACACACCATTACAGATGTCAGCAAGCAAAACATTTAAGTAAACAAAACACAGAACATACATGAAAATCAAAAGGTACAAGTCAAAAAAGTACAATCCTCCACGAGTAGGGTCTGAATTATTTTAAATATATACACACTTACCTGCAGAACATGTAGATGTTGCACTTCTCTAACCCTGCCTCATCTGGCACATTATAAATCGGAGTCAGAAGAACACCAACAGTAACCACCGGCAGAGAAAACGTTTATTTAAGTTCAGGAGTAAATGGATGAGAAATGTGACAGCAGTCATCTATCTCCAGTCCACTTCCCTGAATGAGTCATAAACAGCAACAAGTTATACATATACATTTTAGTCATTTAGCAGACGCTCTTATCCAGAGCGACTTACAGCTAGTGCATACATTATTTTTTTCATACCCCCTGTGGGAATCGAACCCACAACCCTGGCGTTGCAAACGCCATGCTCTATCAACTGAGCTACATCCCTGCCGGCCATTCCCTCCCCTACCCTGGACGATGCTGGGCCAATTGCGCGCCGCCCCATGGGTCTCCCGGTCGCGGCCGGCTACGACAGAGCCTGGATTCGAACCAGGATCTCTAGTGGCACAGCTAGCACTGTGATGCAGTGCCTTAGACCACTGCTCCGGGAGACAACATGTATTTTAAGTATTATTAGGTATTAAGTTGTGTATTTTCAGTAAAAATTGTTATGTTGTACTATTAACTGACCAAATATACACTGAGTATACCAAACACTGAGTTGCAGAACAGCCTCAATTTGTCGGGGCATGGACTCCACAAGGTGTCGTAAGCGTTTCATAGGGATGCTGGCCCATGTTGATTCCAATGCTTCCCACAGCTGTCCTTTGGGTGGTGGAACATTCTTGAGACACACAGGAAACTGTTGAGCGTGAAAAACCCAGCAGCTTTGCAGTTCTTGACACACTCAAACCAGTGCGCCTCGCACCTACTACCATACCCAGTTCAAAGGCACTTAAATATATTGTCTTGCCCATTCAATTGTCTAAAGGCTTAAATATCCGTATTTAACCTGTCTCCTCCCTTTCATCTACACTGACTGAAGTGGATTTAACAAGTGACATCAATAAGGGATCATAGTTTTCACCTGGATTCACCTGGTCAGTCTGTGTTTTGGAAAGTGCAGGTGTTCTTAATGTTTAGTATACTCAGTGACTCTAGAGTTTACTTCTCCTGTTCTCACCCATGGCCATGACCCAAATTACAGAAATTAGGAGGCGCTGATAGAATGCAATTTATTGCATTATAGTTTGGAAAAGTAAGCCATGCTATCTCCCTGTATTGTCTCTCTGTATTGCCTCCCACTATTCCTCCAGGGATTAAACAAGGCAGAATTGACAGGGCTGTGGAACTGAAAGGCTAAACAGATGGAATACTGAGGAATATTTGAGGCTGCTCAGAGGAGAAAGGGGAGGCCCATCTTCCTCAGTGAATTTCAGAAAAATTAAATAGTGACACATTAAAAAAGTTATCCTTTAAGATACAACTATTAAATATATCATCAAATAAATTGTTGGGAACACACTGTTTTGCAATGAAGGTCTACAGTAGCCTCAACAGCACTCTGTAGGGTAGCACCATGGTGTAGCCGGAGGACAGCTAGCTTCTGTCCTCCTCTGGGTGCATTGACTTCAATACAAAACTTAGGAGAATCATGGTTCACACCCCCTTCCATAGACTTACACAGTAATTATGACAACTTCTGGAGGACGTCCTCCGACCTATCAGAGCTCTTGCAGCATGAACTGACATGTTGTCCACCCAATAAAAGGATCAGAGAATTAATCTAGTACTGAAAGAACAAGCCATATCTAGCTAGCACTGCAGTGCATAAAATGTGGTGAACAAATTAATTTCTTCAAAGATGAAGGAGAATCGAGAGGAGAGAGAGAGAGCTAGCTATATTTCATATTTCTTTTTCACATTCACTTAGATAGCGAATGCAGCCTACTCAAACACACGGCTCAAACAGAGAGGGATGCTATGTTAGCTAGCTGGCTTTGGCTAGCTTTTGGCTTTATTAATTATTTGCCACGGTGGCCCGCCGGTGTAACTGCTAAACTGCTTGCCGACTGTACTGCATGATTGTAGCGGGTTTACTAACACATTAGATCTAGTAGCTATGTTGACTAGCTATGATGTTAGCTAATAGGGTGACATTAACAATGTAGGCTGTGTGTAGCGGTTAGCGGTTATGATTTGAAGGTTTGGCTTGGAAAGTTTTTTTCATCTGGTCACAGACAGCTGATGTGTTGTGCACAGAAGTCCACAAGCGAAGGGAAGAGGTGAGAGGAGGAGAGTGCGTCTATGCAAGAAGGAATTCTACAACAAGCAAAATGATCATGCTGTTTGTATGTGGGAAAGTGAAATCTGTTTGCGTGTGATCAGCGGTGTATTCCTTCTGCCAATTCTGTTGAAAAACATTTCTTAAACGGAAGCAAACGGAACGAAACAGGGATAAACATAGCTGAATTTGTCCAATAGAAACTATCGTTTACAACTGTTGGACTAATGATTACTCCCTAGGTCAGTTAGATGCAGGCAAGAAGAGTGTGTAAGGCGGTATTGAATGTGTCACTGTCTGTCACCTTGATTACTCTTCATTTTTCTCTTGACCTATGCATCTACATTGTAAACTTAAATTCATAGGCTAGGCTGTAACAACCTCATGATGGGTATAGGGAAAATTTGAGTATCATGTTGTAGCCTAAACTTATCGATGTTACATTGAGCAGGGTGAATGGATTATGGATGACAGTCATCCAATATGCTGTAATAGAAATAAGGCCATGCTCATGAAAATAATCGTCCTCCCTCATCTTAAATGTCACCGACCGCCACTGATTTACACTAGGATATTTTTTTTTGCTACCACCAGTACATGGACATTGTAATCATAAAACCTAGCTATGGTTATTACACCAAGTTTATATGTATGGTTTATATTATACAGTATTGTATAATGTAATAAAGTTCGCATTAACTTTCACCTACCAACTCATTGACATTGTAGTCATGTACTATGATAAGAAGAGCAACAAGATTGATGTAATAAAAACCTGTTATGAAAGCAGATACTGTATTATTAGGAGACAAGGGATCATCAACAACTGTCTACACCTGTGTGTGTGTGTGTGTGTGTGTGTGTGTGTGTGTGTGTGTGTGTGTGTGTGTGTGTGTGTGTGTGTGTGTGTGTGTGTGTGTGTGTGTGTGTGTGTGTGTGTGTGTGCGCGCAGCCTATTATCTTAAACCTACAGTACCCTACCGGTCAAAAGTTTTAGAACACCTACTCATTCAAGGGTTTTTCTTTATTTTTACTATTTTCTACATTGTAGAATAAAAGTGAAGACATCAAAACTATGAAATAACACATATGGAATCATGTACTTACCAACAAAGTGTTAAAATATATATATATACAGTGGGGAGAACAAGTATTTGATACACTGCCGATTTTGCAGGTTTTCCTACTTACAAAGCATGTAGAGGTCTGTAATTTTTATCATAGGTACACATCAACTGTGAGAGACAGAATCTAAAACAAAAATCCAGAAAATCACATTGTATGATTTTTAAGTAATTAATTTACATTTTATTGCATGACATAAGTATTTGATCACCTACCAACCAGTAAGAATTCCGGCTCTCACAGACCTGTTAGTTTTTCTTTAAGAAGCCCTCCTGTTCTCCACTCATTACCTGTATTAACTGCACCTGTTTGAACTCGTTACCTGTATAAAAGACACCTGTCCACACACTCAATCAAACAGACTCCAACCTCTCCACAATGGCCAATACCAGAGAGCTGTGTAAGGACATCAGGGATAAAATTGTAGACCTGCACAAGGCTTGGATGGGCTACAGGACAATAGGCAAGCAGCTTGGTGAGAAGGCAACAACTGTTGGCGCAATTATTAGAAAATGGAAGAAGTTCAAGATGACGCTCAATCACCCTCGGTCTGGGGCTCCAAGCAAGATCTCACCTCGTGGGGCATCAATGATCATGAGGAAGGTGAGGGATCAGCCCAGAACTACACGGTAGGACCTGGTCAATGGCCTGAAGAGAGCTGGGACCACAGTCTCAAAGAAAACCATTAGTAACACACTACGCCGTCATGGATTAAAATCCTGCAGCGCACGCAAGGTCCCCCTGCTCAAGCCAGCGCATGTCCAGGCCCATCTGAAGTTTTCCAGTGACCATCTGGATGATCCAGAGGAGGAATGGGAGAAGGTCATGTGGTCTGATGAGACAAAAATAGAGCTTTTTGGTCTAAACTCCACTCGCCGTGTTTGGAGGAAGAAGAAGGATGAGTACAACCCCAAGAACACCATCCCAACCGTGAAGCATAGAGGTGGAAACATCATTCTTTGGGGATGCTTTTCTGCAAAGGGGACAGGACGACTAAACCGTATTGAGGGGAGGATGGATGGGGCCATGTATCGCGAGATCTTGGCCAGCAACCTCCTCTCCTCAGTAAGAGCATTGGAGATGGGTCGTTGTCATGTTGGAAGACCCAGCCACGACCCATCTCCAATGCGAAACACACAGCCAGGGCAACTAAGGAGTGGCTCCGTAAGAAGCATCTCAAGGTCCTGGAGTGGCCTAGCCAGTCTCCAGACCTGAACCCAATAGAAAATCTTTGGAGGGAGCTGAAAGTCCGTATTGCCCAGCGACAGCCCCGAAACCTGAAGGATCTGGAGAAGGTCTGTATGGAGGAGTGGGCCAAAATCCCTGCTGCATGTGGTCTGGTTAATTGGGTGCAAAGGCCCCCTGCCCGGGCGCCATGTTTTCCCGAATTTTCCGCCCCTTTAAGAGGAAAAAGGTTTTTGTAGGAAAATGTTTTTGTTAAATGACCCCTTTAGAAAAAATAAAGTTTACAACCCCCCCACCCAACCTGGAAGAGGTGGAGGAAAAAATTCTTTGGGATTTTTGGGGTTTGAAAGGACATAACGTATTTTGAGGTGGCCATTGGAAATCAAACCAAACCATAAAAATTGAAGGGGTTTTTTTTGGAAGCATAACCCCAAACACCCCAGCAAAAAGGATTTAAGAAGATCAAGTGGGGGCCGGGGCCCCCAATGAACCATAAATAAAAAAATTTTGGGGAGCAAAGCGTTGGGGCCCCCCGAAACGGAAGATGGAAGGTGAGGGGTGGGCCACAATCCTGGTGGGTGTTAAAGGTCAATGGAACTTTTTGTTTGGGGGTTTTGTTTTGTTTGTTTTTGTTTCAAATATTATTCAGTCTCTAAAGTTGAAGTACCTATGATAAAAATGACAGACCTCTACATGCTTTGTAAGTAGGAAAACCTGCAAAATCGGCAGTGTATCAAATACTTGTTCTCCCCACTGTATATTTTATAATTGCGATTCTTCAAATAGCCACCCTTTGCTTTGATGACAGCTTTGCACACTCTTGGCATTCTCTCAACCAGCTTCATGAGGTAGTCACCTGGAATGCATTTCAATTAACAGGTGTGCCTTAAAAGTTAATTTGTGGAATTTCTTTCCTTAATGTGTTTGAGCCAATCAGTTGTGTTGTGACAAGGTAGGGGGGGTATACAGAAGATAGCCCTATTTGGTAAAAGACCAAGTCCATATTATGGCAAGAACAGCTCAAATAAGCAAAGAGAAATGACAGTCCATCATTACTTTAAGACATGAAGGTCAGTCAATATGGAACATTTCAAGAAATGTGAAAGTTTCTTTAAGTGCATTCGCAAAAAGCATTAAGCGCTATGATGAAACTGGCTCTCATGAGGACCGTCACAAGAATGGAAGACCCAGAGTTACCTCTGCTGCAGAGGATAAGTTCATTAGAGTTATCAGCCTCAAAATTCCAGCCCAAATAAATGCTTCACAGAGTTCAAGTAACAGACACATCTCAACATCAACTGTTCAGAGGAGACTGTGTGAATCAGGCCTTCAAGGTCAAATTGATGCAAAGAAACCACTTCTAAAGGACACCAATAATAAGAAGAGACTTGCTTGGGCCAAGAAAGATGAGCAATGGACATTAGACTGGTGGAACTGGAGTCCAAATTGGAGATTTTGGATTCCAACCGCTGTGTCTTTGTGAGACGCGCTGTGGCTAAAACGGATGATCTCCGTATGTGTATTTCCCACCGTAAAGCATGGAGGAGGATGTGTTATGGTGAGTTTGTGCTTTGCTGGTGACACTGTCTGTGATTTATTTAGAATTCAAGGCAAACATAATCAGCATGGCTACCACAGCATTCAGCAGCGATACACCATCCCATCTGGTTTGGGCTTAGTGGGACTATCATTTGTTTTTCAACAGGACAATGACCCAACACACCTCCAGGTTGTGTAAGGACTATTTTACCAAGAAGGAGAGTGATGGAGTAATTCATCAGATGACCTGGCCTTCACAATCCCCCGACCTCAACCAAATTGAGATGGTTTGGGATGAGTCAGACCGCAGAGTGAAAGACAAGCAGCCAACAAGTGCTCAGCATATGTGGGAACTCTTTCAAGACTGTTGGAAAAGCATTCCAGGTGAAGCTGGTTGAGAGAATGCCAAGAGTGTGCTGTCATCAAGGCAAAGGGTGGCTATTTGAAGAATCTCTAATATAAAATATATTTTGACTTGTTTAACACTTTTTGGGTTACTACATGATTCCATATGTGTTATTTCATAGTTTTGATGTCTTCACTATTATTCTACAATGTAAAAAATTGTACAAAAAAGAAAAACCCTGGAATGAGTAGGTGTGTCCAAACTTTTGACTGGTACTGTTTTTTTCACATACACCATGTGCATGTCATTTATAGGTGCATGTATTGCATTGAATAAAAGAGTGTTTTGCAGTAGGTTTTTGTTTGGAGATTGAGTTAATTGCTAAAGCCTGTATCTGTATGGCCACATTACCTCTGCGTTTTCATAGTTGGCGCTACTGTTAAGCCATGGCGAGAGATTCTAGACGTTTCATAGACTGTCCTCAGCGCTCCCGCATGCACAGTAAGATCTATGACTGTGGCACCAGACACAGATCAGATAAGATCTCCACCAGTCCTGAGAGAGAATGCCATGAATCTCTACTGTCTAAGTAATTATTTCTCTCTCTCTCTCCTGCGATATGTTTATACATATCCCTGATGTGTGTGTGTAATGCCATTCTATTTGGCTATGTACAGATCCTGTTGTATTGCTGCATTACCATAGTTAATACAGTGAGGGAAAAAAGTATTTGATCCCTTGCTGATTTTGTACATTTGCCCACTGACAAAGAAATGATCAGTCTATAATTTTAATGGTAGGTTTATTTGTTGGATGATAAACTTCTCAATTATCTTGAAAAAAATGTATACTTAACTGGAAATCAATATCCACCATCGTTAAGACAATGGAAAAATTATATGCTTCATTATCTAAGTATTGAAAGAGCGTGGGAGATGTCCTCAAATTGCACCATTTTGTTCATGTGGCAGAGAGTAGTGCAGGTACTGGAGATAGGGGTGAGAACAGGTGGGTCTGGGCAGGTGCGATGTTGATGTTTGTGTGCGTCTGTATATGTTTTGTATTGTTTGAAAAATATATAAATAAAAAATAAATGTGTGTGTGTTGTGAGGCATCTGCAGGACAGGAAGAAAATGAGGTGAATCCCCACCGCCCTCAGCCATTCAACGTTTTCCACTTGGACCACTTGGCAGAGAAGGAAGGTTGATCTACTGAGTGCAGGCTTCCCTTTATTCCATGGACTCTTACAGCAGAAGTGTGTCTGGCCCTCAAAGGCCCTCATTGTATACTCCTGAGTGGCACAGTGGTCTAAGGCACTGCATCGCAGTGCTATCTGTGCCACTAGAGATCCTGGTTCGAATTCAGGCTCTGTCGCAGCCGGCCGCGACCGGGAGACTCATGGGCGGCGCACAATTGGCCCAGCGTCGTCCAGGGTAGGGGAGGGAATGGCTGGCAGGGATGTAGCTCAGTTGATAGAGCATGGCGTTTGCAACGCCAGGGTTGTGGGTTCGATTCCCATGGGGGGCCAGTATAAAAACAAAAAACAAATATGTAAGAAAGGCAAAGCTGTCATCTGAGACGGAGAGAGACAGAGAGGAAAGAGAAAGAGAGAGGGGGGAGAGGGGGGGAGAGAGAGGGGGGAGAGAGAAAGAGAGAGAGGGGGGAAAGAGAGAGGGACAGAGAGGGGGGAGAGAGAGGGACGGAGAGAGCGAGGGAGAGAGACAGAGAGCGAGAGAGACAGGGAGAGGGCGAGAGAGAGGGGGAGAGAGACAGAGAGGGGGAGAGACAGAGAGAGAGACAGAGTGAGCGAGCGAGAGAGAGCGAGAGAGAGAGAGACGGGGAGGGGGGGTGTAAGAAAGGCAAAGCTGTCATCTGAACTCACTCACAGAACATGTTTGGCTGGGGGAATGCAGAGAGAGAGACGTCAATAACAGGGTCACGTCCAAGATCATAATGCTGGTGAGGAACGTTCTGCAACATAACCTCAGTTCACTCTTCTTGTTTTGAGGAACATAAAAGCAAATGACAGGTTGTATTCTTCCTGTCCCCCCAGACCTCTACATCAGCACCTTCTTTGACTCCAAACTGGCTCAACTGGTCGAAACAGACAGTTCAAGGACAGACTGACAACAAGAACTAAAGTAGTGGTAGTGGTTTACCTTCGTTTGAGAGAGGCGTCTTCTGCAACTAAACTGTTACGCCATAAACAGAGGTGCTTCCCTGATAGGCTGACACTCACTGACTCACCAGAGCACAAACACTCGTAAACTCTGGTGAGTTTGTGGCATTGACTGGTGTTATGACTAATCAAGCATCCCCATGAGATCAAAGATGTTACTCAAAATATGGGCCATCGTGATCTGATAACATCGCTATGAAGTCCTACCATTTCACTTTGGCCCAACAGACTTCTGGTTTCGATGAAAACACAATAGGAGAGCTACACATAACTTGTTGTGTATGGAAATAAAAGGTGAAAATGTGATGATTATTTTTGTATTTTGTTAAAAATGTGGGGTTGCTGCAGTTTCTTATTATCTAATGGTGAGAAATGGAGATTAAGAGCACTTCTAAAAGGCAGAGCACCCAACGAGGGGCATACTCCAAGAGAAGTGCACCACTATTATTGCTCCACTTGTTGCATTCAAGAGCTGAAGAGAAAGGTTGAGAGGGATTAAGACACCGTGGAGCCAGCGCGATATGGGTCAGAAAACATACCTCAATGCAGGGATGGGATATGCCACTGTCCTCGAAATTGTATTCGCTCGCTCGTTCTCAAGCAGCTACCTACTCCCCGGCTATTTCCTCTGTATGGAGGATCAGCGCATGCGCAGCAACCGCCAGCTGTTAATTCCGATTAACCCGTGCTGGAAACAGACAAAGCAGCAGACAAGACACCAGAGGAGAATACAGCGCATTCGGAAAGTATTCAGACCCCTTCACGTTTTCCACTGTAGTAAAAATAAACTATTATACAAGGAACTGAGCAAACATGTTGTGAAAGATGTTGTGCAAGACCAGGGGATCAAAACATGTTGTGCATTATGTTGTGAAAGAACTGTTGGGGTTGGAGCCTCTTTTCTCATAACAGGAACATACCGTTCTCATGAACAAACACGAGACTGAAAAGGACACAACGCCCTGCACATTGCAACAGAATGCGATAACAGGACAACTCCCACACCTCAGGCCCCAAACACTAGTTCCTCCTCACGAGTTTTCCTTGACACACAGACATTTCATTTTTGCACGCTCACTCACACTCCACTCCCCTTCTACTGGTCGGGTGCCAAGGGCAGAGGACTCTGCCGTGCACCAATGGGGCTTCTACTCTGGTGTCAGTGGGTGCTGTAGGTGGGTGTGGTGCAGGAATCAGATGCAGGACGCAGAAAGATAAGTCCAATAGACTTTAGTGAACAGCACACTCAAATTCACGAGTCAAACGCCCGGAGGCGAGAAAGTCCGCACACAGGCGAAAACCAAAAGGCGCACAAAACAGTGCGTAAATAACCTCCTAAACACAGAGGAGGAAAATCCGAAATGCACAAGGCAAACAGTAGCGCACAAAACACGACAGCGAAACAATAACACACAAACACAGACACACACAACGAGAACTAAATAGAACACTAACGAGGACTAACTAGACACAGGTGTACAACATCAAGACCAAACCAAACGAACATGAAACATAGATCGGTGGCAGCTAGTACTCCGGAGACGACGAGGAGGAGGAGGAGCAGCCTCGGCCGAAACCGTGACAGTACCCCCCCCTTGACGCGCGGCTCCAGCCGTGCGCCGACCCCGGCCTCGGGGACGACCAGGAGGACGCGGAGCAGGGCGCGCAGGATGGTCCCGGTGGAACTCCGACAGGAGAGATGGGTCTAGGATGTCCCTCCGCGGCCACCAGCACCGTCCTCCGGGCCGTAACCCCTCCCACTCCACGAGATACTGGAGACCCCCCATCCGGCGTCTGGAGTCCAAGATGGACCGAACGGTGTACGCCGGAGCCCCCTCGATGTCCAATGTGGGCAGAGGAGCCTCTCCTATCTCAATTGTCCTGGAGTGGACCGCTACCACCGGCCTGAGAAGAGACACATGGAACGAGGGGTTAATATTCTTATATTCAACAGGTAGATGTAACCTATAACACACCTCGTTCAATCTTCTCAGGACTTTAAAGGGCCCCACAAACCGCCGACCCAGCTTCCGGCAGGGCAGGCGGAGGGGTAGGTTTTCTGGTAGAGAGCGAGAGGTCTAGGGCCCCTCCCGGCCCCCCCCCTTCGGGGTCCCCTCCCCTTTTTGGAACGGAAACCCCCCTCCGGGTCTGGGAAAGGGGCCAAGGTTCCCGAGCCCCCTCACCCAAGGGGCAGGGGCCCCCCCTTATCTCTTGCCTGGGGGCCAGAACCCGGGGGCTGGAAAACAATGGAAAGGGGGGTTTAAATAAATTCCCGGAGATTCCATCACCCGAAAACCTCAATTTTAAAGGGCCCCAAAAACCCGGACCCAGCCCCCCAAACATGGCTGGTTTAAACCACCGTTCCCCTGACCGGCCCTTAATGGGGGGAGGGGGGTCCCAAAGGAGGCCCCCGGGGGGGACCCCCAAACGCTCTTACCCCTCCCAAACACCACGGGGGTAAACTGGGGCCTGGTCCAAAAAACCCGGCGGCCCCCCAAACCGGGGAAAGGGGGGTTTAAAGGGTAGGGTTTCGGGGTTGGCCCCGGGGAAGACCCCCCCATTAGGGGCCCGAAAACGCCTAAAAACCGGTAACACGCCCCGGTTTTTTGGGGGACCCGGGGGAAGAGGAAACCCCCGGTCCAAAATCCAAAACCCGGAGGTAAACTGGGGGGGTGTGAACTTAGGGGGCCCCTTAAACCGGGGAAGAGGGGGGCCCCAGGGTCTTGGGCGAAAGAGAAAGGGAGAAGAAATTAAAAACCCCCCAAAACACCAATTGGCCCCAAGAGGAAGGCCAAAAAATGCTTGGACCGGGATGTCTGGGGGGGGGGGTGAATTTTTTGGGAAAAAGGGGTGGGGGAGGGGCGAATGAGGGGAGGAACAAAAACCTCACACCAGAAATCCCCGAGGGCTAAGGAGAGGGAAACCCCGGGGTTGAGGGGGGTGGGGGGGGGGAAAGGGAGGGGGTTTGGGGGGGGGGGGGGCTGGGGGGGTTTTTTCCTCGACTCGGATCGCCCCCCAACCACCGGGCCACAAGGCAAGACTCCGTTAGGAGGGAGAGGCTAACGGACCTCTCCTCCGTGTCATACCGCCGGGACAGTGCATCTGCCTTGCCATTCTGGGACCCAGGGATGTACGTGATTTTAAATACGAACCTGGTGAGAAACATACTCCATCGAGCCTGGCGAGGGTTCAGTCTCCTCGCTGCCCGGATGTACTCCAGGTTCCGATGGTCAGTCAAAAAGAGGAAAGGGTGTTGAGCCCCCTCAAGCCAATGCCTCCACACCTTAAGGGCCTGAACTACAGCTAACAGCTCCCTGTCCCCAACGTCATAGTTACGCTCCGCCGGGCTGAGCTTTTTGGAGTAAAAAGCACAGGGGCGGAGTTTAGGTGGCGAGCCGGACCGTTGAGAGAGCACGGCCCCTATACCAGCCTCAGACGCGTCCACCTCAACCTGAAAGGGAATTGTGGGATCCGGATGCGCCAGCACCGGAGCCGACGTAAACAGGTCCTTCAGTCTCCCAAAGGCCCTGTCCGCATCAGCTGACCACTGCAGGCGCACCGGACCTCCTTTCAGAAGGGACGTAATGGGAGCTGCCACCTGTCCAAAACCCCGGATAAACCTCCGGTAGTAATTCGCAAAGCCCAAGAACTGCTGCACCTCTTTTACAGTGGTTGGAGTTTGCCAATTACGCACAGCGGACACACGATCCACCTCCATACTCACCCCTGACGCGGACAACCGATAACCCAAAAAGGAGACCGATTCCTGGAAAAACAGACATTTCTCTGCCTTGACATATAGGTCGTGCTCCAACAGCCTCCTCAATACACGTCGCACCAGGGTTACATGCTCGGCTCGGGTAGACGAGTACACCAGAATATCATCAATGTACACGACCACCCCTTGTCCCTGCATATCCCGGAAAATGTCATCTACAAAGGATTGAAAGACTGATGGAGCATTCATCAACCCATATGGCATGACAAGATATTCGAAATGACCTGACGTGGTACTAAACGCTGTTTTCCATTCATCGCCCCCCCCTAATGCGCACCAAGTTATATGCGCTCCTGAGATCCAATTTTGTGAAAAACCGCGCCCCATGCAATGACTCCGTCATGGTCGCAATCAGAGGGAGTGGATAACTGTATTTCACAGTAATCTGATTGAGACCACGGTAATCAATGCACGGGCGCAACCCTCCATCTTTCTTTTTCACAAAAAAGAAACTCGAAGAGGCGGGGAAGTGGAAGGCCGAATGTATCCCTGTCTCAAAGATTCGGCTATGTAGGTCTCCATAGCTTTTCTCTCCTCTTGAGACAAAGGATACACATGGCTCCGTGGGAGCGCTGCTCCTGCCTGGAGATCAATCGCACAATCCCCCTGTTTATGGGGAGGCAACTGCGTCGCCCTAGTTTTGCTAAACACAAGAGCTAAATCCCCATATTCAGGCGGAATGTGCAATGCGGGCACTTGGTTGGGACTTTCCACCGAAGTCGCCCCCACGGAAACACCCAGACATCGCCCCTCACACTGAGCAGACCACCCATCGAGAGCCCTCTGTTGCCACGAAATAGCAGGGTTATGGGTGCTTAACCAGGGAATCCCCAGCACCACTGGGTACGCAGGAGAGTCGATCAGATACAGCTGTATAGTCTCTTCATGACCCCCCTGCGCACACATCCTAAGTGGCGCTGTGACTTCCCTGATCAACCCCGACCCCAACGGACGGCTATCTAAGGCATGAACGGGGGAAAGGTTTGTCAACGGGTAGGAGAGGGATCCCTAACTCTAAACAAAACTTTCGATCAACAAAATTCCCAGCTGCGCCTGAATCTACTAGCGCCTTATGCTGGGAATGAGGTGCAACCTGTGGAAAACCAACAGGTATACAAAAGTGCGCAACAGAAAGCTCTGGGTAGGTGGGGCGTCTACTCACCTGGGAGGCCCCCCCAGTGCGTGGCCTGTTGTCTTCTCCCCCGGAGAACCCTCCCCAGCACCTGGCCGCAGTGTGCCCTCCACGACCGCACTTGGTGCAGGAGACAGGCCCCCTCGGGCTCCTCCTACTCCGTTCTCTAGCGCCGGCACCCCCCGAGCTCCATAGGGCTCGGCTCGGAGGTGCCGGAGGGCGGAATGGACGGACCCCCCTCGGGACGTCCACGGGTGGCCAGCAGGGTGTCTAAACGGATGGACATATCAACCAACTGGTCGAAAGTCAGATGGGTATCCCTGCAGGCCAACTCTCGTTGAACGTCCTCCGGGAGGCTAACACCGAAAATGGTCAATGAGAGCCCGTTCATTCCACCCTGCATCCGCCGCTAGAGTCCGGTACTCCAAAGCAAACGCCTGTGCGCTCCTCCTCCCCTGTCTCAAGTGGACTAGCCGCTCCCCCCGCCGCTTTGCCCTCAGGTGGATGGTCAAACACGGCCTTGAAGCGGCGGGAGAACTCGGCGTAGGAGATGGTGTTGGCGTCCATCTTCCTCCACTCAGCGTTAGCCCACTCCAACGCCTTTCCCGAGAGACAGGAGATGAGGGCGGAAACGCTCTCGTGTCCCGAGGGCACCGGGTGTACAGTGGCCAGGTAGAGCTCCACCTGCAGGAGAAACCCCTGACACCCGGCAGCTGCGAGAGCCCTCGGGAGCGAGAGCCGAATCCTCCTGGGTTCCGGACCTGGGGCTGGTGGACCGGCCGATGGGGTGGACAGGGTAGGTGGAGGTGTGGGTACCCTGCTGGCTTCCCATCGGTGCAGGGTGTTGATCACGTCCTGTAGAGCGGTCTCCAGTTGTCTTATCTGGCCCTCCTGCCAATGGATATGCTCCTCGAGCGACACCGGTGTCACAGCCGATCCTGCTGATTCCATAATGGTGTGTTATTCTGTCAGTGGGTGCTGTAGGTGGGTGTGGTGCAGGAATCAGATGCAGGACGCAGAAAGATAAGTCCAATAGACTTTAGTGAACAGCACACTCAAATTCACGAGTCAAACGCCCGGAGGCGAGAAAGTCCGCACACAGGCGAAAACCAAAAGGCGCACAAAACAGTGCGTAAATAACCTCCTAAACACAGAGGAGGAAAATCCGAAATGCACAAGGCAAACAGTAGCGCACAAAACACGACAGCGAAACAATAACACACAAACACAGACACACACAACGAGAACTAAATAGAACACTAACGAGGACTAACTAGACACAGGTGTACAACATCAAGACCAAACCAAACGAACATGAAACATAGATCGGTGGCAGCTAGTACTCCGGAGACGACGACCGCCGAAGCCTGCCCAAACCAGGAGGAGGAGCAGCCTCGGCCGAAACCGTGACATCTGGACAGAGCAGACCCGCCTCCTACGCCTCGGGAACCAATCAAGGGACTAGAAGAAGGACCCCTCCTTTTATGTTACACTGTATAAGTAATGCTGTAAACTCTGTTTAAACATCCTTCTCAGCTGACTCTATAGAGTGCCATATGATTAGGTCCATGCATGTTAACTAGCAGGACAAGATATCTCTGGTTGAATAAACTGCCTTTTACTTAAGCAAATTCCACTCTGTCTAGCGTCGTTGGTTTGTACTCCCTCTCCATATAATTTAAACACCAACAAATTGGTAGCAGAGGATGGTTTCTACTTCGATCTAAAAGTTGGTGAGAGAGGACAAGGCAAATCATCGATCTAAAAACAGACGGAAGAGTGACCTGTAATCCAGGAGACATCAACTATTCATCTTACCTCAGGAACCTGATCAGAGAGCTCTCCTAAAAAAAGGTAAGCAGAGCCTGTTAAAACAAAATCTTGCATATTGTATTATAGACCAATACCAAATTTTGATCAGTAGTACTGAGTGTGAGTATGAATACTTATTAAATTATTTCCATCCTAATGAATTAAGGCATAAGTGAGATATCTGGTACTGTGACTGTATTGTCAAAGTGTGAAGTTGATGATAATAAAATAAAAGTATCCTATGGGTTAAATTGCGATTTAACACATGATGTGGATAAGATTTGACCCATAATCTAGATTCCTCCAGGGACCCAGGTTGAACTGAGACCTTTTGCATAATTCCTATTTGGGGAGGTCCTACCCTATAGGTTGTGAGAGAGTTGATCACGTTAAACTGTGGCAATGTTCTAGAAATGTATATGGGAGAGAATCATTGCAATTGACCAGAGGTACTAAATTCCCGGGGATTCCAGTTATCTCTGTAATTTCACATTTAAAACGATCCCATATAAA